AAGCCAACCAACAAAAACTCCCCCTGTTCCTCAGGGGGTGGTGCCTGGGCATGAAGGAAACACTACTTTACAGATGGCCAAACTGAGACTCCAAGTTTGAATAAATAAATTAAAAAGAATGAGAGGCAACAACAAAAAAGTGTGGCAACTTAAAAAAGGGACAGAGAAAGGTCTGGTCTAGACTGAAAGAGTAACATTTAAAATGAGCAAAGACTTCGGCTGGGGACATTTTCCTACCTAAACCATGTACCGAGAGAACTAATGCCCCCACCTCACGCACAGACTGGCTCCCTGCCCGCAAGAAGTGCTGACCAGGGTAACAGTGTCTCTTACAGCTTCCTGTTTATCTACAAGCCCCCTCTAACACATTGTTCCTCTGGACAGTGAGTGCCCAGCAGTCCAGGGCGACTGACCCTTTAAAACGTCACTGAAGGTGTGGAGGATAAAAATGAGTTTGCTAGATAATTTAGTATTTGGAGTCTTGGAGTCAAATGTTCTGAGTATGAACCCCATCTCTGCCATTTAGAAGCTGTGTGACAGAGCAAGTTGCCCCATAGCCCTAGGTCTCTGTTTCCTCATTTTCAAAATGGATGTGATAACAATATCACCTTTATAGGGTTATCATGAGGACGAATGTGCAATAAATGGGCCAACACCAGGCACACACACAATTAAGTGCTCCAGAATTGCTAGCTATTATTAGTTTCCTTATCGTTGGTTATAAAAATTGTAAGCATTCTTCAAACAGCAAAATTCCTCTAATTGCCATAAAATAATCGACTGCCATTTTAAGGGAACAAACACATCCTAGCAACACTGACATCTCAGCCAGGTCAGCACAGCCGGTTCCAATGGGATTCCTGCCCGTGTGTGCCGTGGCCTGGGTGGGCAGCAACCCTCTTTGGCGGGTGGGGAAGACTGTCCGCCTGGCCAGAAGGTGCTGCTGCCCATTCATTCCACGTTTGCTGAGCATCCTTTCCTTCTCGCCACACACCGGGGCCAGACGCTGGACTGGGAGCAATTTCTGTTCAGCTGCATTTATTGAGCCCCCAGAAGTCTCAGACTCTGACTCAGTTCAGTCTTCACAGTAATCCCATGAGTTGTTGTTGTTGTTGCTGTTATGTGCCGTCGAGTCGGCCCCCGACTCATAGCGACCCCTCCTTGGGTTTCCGAGGCAGTTATCACTACGGAAGTAGGATTGCCCAACCTTCCTTCCGAGGAGTGGCTGGTGGGTTTGAACCGCCAGCCGTCTGGTTAGCAGGCAAGTGTCTTAGCCACTATGCTACCAGAGCTCCTAATCCCATGAGTAGGTGTCCTTATATTTATTTGCTGGAGGAGGAACTCTCTAAAGTCACACCTTGAGCAAAGGATGGAACTGGAATTTGTCCCAGGTCCATCTGGTTCCTTCCTGCGCCAACTCCCATGAGTTCACACTTCCTTAGGAGCACCTGGCCCCACCACGGTGCCCTGCCCTAATTTAACACTCGTCAATAATGTTATCATGTCTCTATTGAGTGTGGATCACCTGAGGAGACAGTTGGCTTGCTTTTGTTGATATAACAAGATACTTTTAAAATGCAAAGAGCAAGTCCATCTCTTGTTTTTTTTCTTTTTTTTTTTTTTCACTTTGCTGTTGGGAAGCTGATACTAGCTGCCATCAAGTTGATTCTGACTCATGGTGACCCCATGTGTATCAGAGTTGAACTATGTGCTCCATAGGGTTTTCAGTGACTGATTCTATTTTTTTAATCACCAGGCCTTTCTTCTGAGGTGCCCCTGGGAGGACTGAAACCTCTAATTTGGTTAGCAGCTGAGTCTGCTGTTGGCACCACCCAGGGACTATGGGAAGCTGACAGGGAAGGAGATAGGAGGCGAGGGTTCCTGGCTGCTTTAAATGGCCTTGAAGTCATCTGTTTCCTTTGAAGAGGTGGGGGAGGGAGAATGATTACAAAGGGGTGCCTGGAGGTACTCCAGGAAGAATCATTAGTGAAGCTGACAGGAAAAGAGGTGGACTCAGGTGGCTGTTTGCACAAAAGTCAGCCAGCGTGGGGAGGGGTCTGCACTTGAGCACTGCCTGTAGACTGGTGTCTTCTTCGAAAATGCTTGCATTTGGCAATTGTTAATTTTTTTCTGCTCACCTAATGTGTGCATAGTTCTAGGCAGGTTCTGGGTGCCTTGAGTAACTCGAAATTTAGTGTGAGATTCAGGCAGGAAGCCAGGTGATTACTGCACAGACTGAGGAAGACTGTGGAAGGGGCCCTTGTGGGCTCTGGGAGTCATCATGAAAGCTACTTGAAGGCAGGGCTGTCTCAGCCGACCGAGGTGAGAAGATGAGGGGAAGTTAAACTGACCCGGACCTGAGGGCAAGTAGGGCAGCTGTGTGAACAGACAGAGGAAACCACCCGCTTGGGGGCCAGTGAAACAATGCATGGCTGTGCTGAGTGCCGGTGGGTTCTGGGACAAGCTTGTGCAGGGCTTGTGGGGCAGAGGGCAAGAAATGGTGCTGGAAAGGTTAGTAGGGTTAGGTGGAAAAGGGCCAGGTAAGCCCTTTAGGGAGTTTGGACTTACACTGCCCAAGATAGCCTGGCCTAGTAGGGGGTAGGCCAATGACAGCAGAGATATGGAGGCACTTAGAGTGCCCTCTGAGTGAGGATGGAGGGAGAAAGGCCAGGACTAGGTTTTTGACAACTTGGCCAATACCTCCCCTGGTTTGGTGAGTGTGGAAGGTAGAACCCTTAGGGGTGAAGATCTAACAGTAAGACCTAGGAAGCTGCTCTCATAGCAGTTGGGTGAGTCTGGCGTTCAGGAGAGGGCTAGGCTGGAAAGAAGACATAGGAGCAATTTCTGCCAAAAGAATCCTTGGAAATGAATGAGATTGCCAGGAAGTAGAGATTGGGATGAGACTGAACATGTTTGTTGTTGTTGATATGTGCCATCAAGTCGGACCCGACTCATAGCCACTCCTCCTTGAGTTTCCAAGGCAGTATCACTACGGAAGTAGATTGCCCAACCTTCCTTCTGAGAGTGGCTGGTGGGTTTGAACTGTCAGCTTTCTGGTTAGCAGTCAAGTGCCTTAGGCACTATGCTACCAGAGCTCCTGAACATGTTTAGGGGATGGAAGTCAAATGAACTCATCATCATATGTGCATTCAGTTTTCATCACTTCTGCTCCTAACAATGAGAGCTGATCTTCTCATTGCCCTGGCTAAAGCTGGGCACTCATCCTTTAGGGGCAGCTGAAATTACCCTCCTGGATGCCACTTCCCCAAGTGATTTCCTGTTGTTTTCTCAGCCACTTCCAGCTGGCTGTCCTGTGTTGGGAGCCTGGGTGGCACAATGGTTAAACACACAGCTACTGACAGGTTAACGGCTCAAACCCACCAGCTGCTCCGAGAGAGAAGATCTTGCAATCTGCTTCCATACAAGATTACAGCCTAGGAAAGCCTATAAAGCAGTTCTACTCTTTTCTAGGGTCGTTATGAGTCAGAATCAACTTGACAGCACACAACAACAACACTGAATTGAAATTTCTCTTCTCTAATTGCACTGTAGGCTCCTTGACAGCAGGAACAGAGCCTTGGCCATCACTGTAACCTTCACAGTGGTTTAGCCATTATTTCTTAAGTGAATGAATGATTGGGTAAAAGGATTAAAGAAGACATCTGTTGACATCTTTGCATTTCTGGAGCTCAGTGAACAAGACAGGCCAGTCCTTTTGTTATTCAGATTGGCTTTGTAAAATCAGGAAATGTTTCAAATATGCAACAATACATCAAACACTCATGTCCCTTTCTGCCAGATTGGACACACTACTGGACTCTTTGTAGAAGTCACAACCTGTGGGGAAATATGAAGAGACTCCAGTTATTTTAGTCAAGTGGGTTTTCCCACTGAAAGAAACTTGGAACACCAAGTTTGATTTCTGTGGGTGTAGTGCCTGTTGTTTTCATTTTTAAATGAGAGTAAACACTGCATTTAATCAATGATACCATATAAAACTTTCTAAAGAGCATATAAATCAGTCATTTAGGCCACATGGACCAGTCATACTGCCTCTTAGTTCATGGATGGGGCACTGCTCAGAGTTCTTATCTTACTTCCTTATCACGGTTTGTGCCTAGAGTGAATGCCACAAATTCAAAAGTGAAATAACATCTCCATTGTTGTTATGTGCCGTCGAGTCATAACCAACTCATAGCGACCCCAAGTCATAGCGACCCCTCATTGGGTTTCCAAGGCAGTATCACTACTGAAATAGATTGCCCCATCTTCCTTCCAAGGAGTGGCTGGTGGGTTTGAACCGCCAGCCTTCTGGTTAGCAGTCAAGTGCCTTAGGCACTATGCTATCAGAGCTCCCATTAGAATCACAGAATTGGGAAACTGTCTCAGATGGGTTCATTGTCTTTGTGGCAAAATAGCTGATTAGGTTGGTTAAAATATTGTGATGATCTATATATCATATTTGAACATCATTTCACTTGAAAATGAACCTTTATTGCCTTCTTTAAATGATAAAAATAACATGGACACATCATGGAAGATTTAGAAAATCAAGATAAGCCAAAAGAATGTAAATAAGTTAAGAATTCCACCTAGAAACAGTTAACTTTCTGAGTGTGTCCTTGAAGTCCTGTTCCTATGCTGTGTGTGTGTGTGCATGTGCATGTGCACACACACATGTGCACACATAGGTGTCTAGATACTCATTCACATGTTATTATCTTCAACAGTGCCAGAATCATATAAGCAACTTGTTTGTTGTTGTT